TTTTTTTTTGAGATAGTCTCCCCCTGTTGCCCTGAGTAGAGTGCAGTGGCACCATCGTAGCTCACTGCAACCTCGAACTCCTGGGCTCAAGTGATCCTCCGGCATCAGCCTCCCCAGGAGCTAGGATTGAAGGCATGTGCCACTGCACTTGGCTACTTTTTCTGTTTTTAGTGGAGATGGGATCTTGCTCTTGCTCAGGCTAGTCTCAAACTCCTGACCTCAAGCAATCCTCTCGCCTGAGCCTCCCAGTCTATGATGCTTTAAAAAAACTTTTTTTAATGGAGAGGGATTGTTCTCTTTCTTGTTACTGTTTTAAATCTAATACTGGACAGAGAGGTGTTAATTTTCCTTCTTAAAAATACAAATCATACTATGATTGAAGGCTAAACTGCACTGAGTTTATATTTCACAACCTAAAATAGAAGATACTAAGGAATATTGGGGTGCTTGAGTGGGGGTTCAGGGACACCAATTATTCCACCTCTGTTGAGCATCCTTTGCCTGGTCTGCCCTAGGCATCTGGGATATGGGAGGGAACAAAAAGCTGACCTGTCCTCCAGCTATTGGCTGATTTAGAAAAAGAGAAAAATTCTCCACTTAATGGACAATATAATGTTTATCATTTTAAGAAATAGGAGTGATTTGGGAGCATGGGTTTAACACTTATGCTTAGATTGACATGCTGCTGAACCAAATAGTAATGTAAAAGGTAATAACAGAATCAATTTTGGCAAATATTATGCTGAACCTTGGGGTTGAGATATTTTAGAATAATGAATTAAAACCTCTAAATATCCAAATTTAATTGTTTTAAGGGAAAGACAATATTTTTGTGTGTTGACTTGAAACTGGAAAGAAAATCAAGTACTACCTACACATTTATATTTAGTTAACAACTACAAAATCTGATTTTTAGCCCAAGCCTGTTTTCCCCAAGATCATTCAGAAATATTAGTGCAAAGGTTTTAGAGAATAGCACACATTATCATGTGAGTATTCTGGGTGGTTCAAAAGAGTATTTGTTGCCAGCCTGTCAGTATTCCCCTGGGAAACATCTTCTGTACCTATGGATAAGCTTCGGCTGGCTCCATCGTGTGCCGTGGTGTTCACTGTTTCCTGAAGGTAGCATTTCATTAAAGTCCACCTTAATGTCTTTATCTTAGATAGCAAAACGTGTTTTAAATTGTAACAAGAATCCAGTATGCTCTTCTGCACACTCTACTAGGGGCTCTATGCAATTTAAAAATTAATAATTTGAAAAATGGGTACAACCAAATGTCCCTTGATTTTGGCCATCTACTTTGTTATCTCCTTTCAAGTTGCTATTCTTTTTCTACCCTTTCTCTCCAACCTTTTCTAATTTTATCAAAATTCTCTTTGTGGCATCACCTTTTACCTATTAGTAGCATTGACAGACTCCTTTGGTAGTCCTTAAAAGTAAAAATGTTGCTCACTCCCGGTCTGTGGCATAAGGACGAGGTTTGGGATCTCAGAAGCGTCTCTCCAAGACGTCATTTGCTGTTTCTTTAGTCTCTCTGTGACCTTGAGAAGTGTGTGTGTTTCCAGGTGACAGTCATTTGGTACAGCATAAGTTTGATGTTCAATAAGTTTGAGAACCACAGCTAGATCCTTTAATGCATGAATAAAGAAAGCATTAGGAGTTGAACCTTATCTGCTGTGTAATCTAGAATCACTGGAATAGCACAGAAGGCATTTATTTTTAATTTTTAAAAACATTTTTTTATAGTCACACACAGTTTTCATAAATAGCTCTTCAGAGCATTGAACACAGCCTGCCTTTTTGATCTAAGGAACTTTCATGGTTGAGTTCTTCCTGCTTTTTATAGAAAGTTACTTGATATATTTAATCTAGTTTTAGTATTTATACTTGCTTCTTGAGTCCTTTGCTTATTGAGTGTGTGTTTTAAAATGAAAATGGTTTTAAAATAATACCTAAGTGACCACCTTAATAGCCACAAACTCCATTTCTTTATGTAGTTAATTTTATATTTCTTCCCTTTTTTCTGTTTTAGAAATATTAACTGACAATTTTAATATAAGTAACATATTTTTCTGTGACATATTCAGCAACAATATAGTAAAACTGGTTAGAATTTATATTCTAGTCTATATTTGGGCATGTACATATATCACAATAAAAGTGCAACACCTTTGCACACCAATTTGTCATTGACTCTTGCTTTTCCTCCTCTAAAGAGGTTGTGAATCTTATTGAAGTTGGGGGGAAACTCATAGGCTAAAGTAACTACAGCTCTGAGAAACTAAAGGTAAAGGTCAGGTCACAAGGAGCTAGTCTGTGGCTCACAGTGGGGAATAATAGGAAAATGAGATATTCATTGTTAAGTTTTGTTTTCTGCATCCCGTTTTCAAATCAATATGATGTTCTTCCTGTAGGGTAGCTTGGAATGTGACAGCTCTAACTTCCATCATTGACTCCATCATGGGTATCAGCAAATAGATGTGATTCAGAAAGTTAGCAATTGTCAAGAATGTTTGGAATAATGACTCAGGTCACACAGTCCTTCCCCGGGGTATCAGCTCTGGGATCAGGACATTCTTCTTGGTGAGGGCTGTGTGACTCACAAGTGGGACTCTGTTTTCCTGGTGTAGCAGCCCAGGACTGTAGGCAGTGGCATGTCTCTGAGGGCTGCGCTGTGTCCTGGCTAGGATACATGGGTGTGGGCTTGTAGGAAGCGTGCATTTTCTTATCTCTGAGCAACAGAAGGGCAATCCTCTTTTCATATACCTACAGATTAGGATCTACAGTTGTAGCTTAATCTTTCCTCCTGTTTCTATCTTTCATGTGATTTGCTGCCACCTCAGTTGCCTAAGTCCCACAGCACTTTGTCCAGCCTACAAAACTTTCCATAATCTGCCTTGTTTTATAGGTGTTTATAAATTCATCTCTTTAGGGTTGCTGCGGAGCCTTGGTCCTCTTTGCACTTGCCCCAGCAGCGCCGTCTGTGTCTCCCTCAGATGGAATCAGGATAGAATTTTCTTTCTAGACACGTTCAGTGAATTCCAGTGACTGGTAGTGAATTGCTGAGACTAGATTGCATCCATTCAAGAGTTTTGAAGGAACCTGAAGATGAAATTGCAGAACTCTTGGCTCAGATGTTTTGCATTTTATAAATAGCCACCGTTTTAATCACTTGGTGGGTTGCCAGCACAAAGAATGGTGCATCGGAAAGGAAAATGGTCTGGTGATCTGGAGGCTCGAGCTGTGTGTTGAGCCCATCCATAACTGGCTGGGTGGCACCGTGCGGCCTTCTCAGGACATGGGGGTCCTCAACAGGATGTGTCTGCTGCAAAATTTGTGGTGTTTGTCAGTGTCATGTCTAAATCCCACTAACCAGGGTTCTTTGCACATGTACAAATGTTCTATGGACAGAAAGGATTTACTTAAAAACAACAACAACAACAAATTACACCATTAATTTACTTATTCTCTTTGCTTATATGAATGATGTGTTACAGAGACTGAATTCTGTTTTATCCTTCATGAAGGTGTTGGTTTTGTTGTTGTTTGCTTGCTTACTTTAGCAGGCAACTAATTTGGCTGGACCTAAACTTCAAACTCTCTCTCCTTTGCAGTGGGTAACAACTTAAATCTTGGTTCAGATCTTTAATCCTTAGCAGGGCTGCTTGGAATTTGCCTGGTTCTTGCTTTGGTTCATGTCCTGGTTCTTGTTTTAACATTTCCATGTGGCTTTGACTGGGCCCTGCCCTCAGGTTAACAGCCCTAATGAAGGGAAGTGTACCAATGTCGCTCCCTTTTTCCAGATGGATCTCCCTGCTTTTGTTCACTCAGTGCCTTGAGAGAGTCATTTTTTTGTAAATGTTATCTGTGGCAGGGCTGGTCTAATAGGAGCTATTCAGGCACAGCACAAGTGGAACGTCAATTCATTTTCTTTCAGTACTTTTTTTGCTTTCTAATTCCAAGTCTACATCTTGCATTGGTTGTGTTACCAAACTAAAATTTTGGATGTTTTTCTTGTACTATTTTAGCAAACACAAATAGAACAATTGGGACAGGGGAGTGGTCTTTTATTTTTTTGTAGAGATTGTCCTGCTAACAATGAGAGTTACTAGTTTTGATGAGCATCCCTGAACGTATTACCTCTGTTAGAGACCCCCAAGAGAAATATTTCGAGTATAAACATTTTGGTCCCCAAATTCCCATGTAGGCGTTCGCCCTGGTGACCTGGGCCAGACACATTTGGATTGCAAGAATTTATTTTGTTTAGATGAATGTTGTCTTAGCCTAAATTGCCTGCCGCATGCTTCTTTTCCCTCTTGGCCTTCTAAGATATTGGAGGTGGGGGAGAGTTGGTTTTTAGTGAGAAGAGGGACTGGCCACCTCTGAAGCTGGAGCAGCAGTGGGCCATCTGACCACATTAGCCATTGACATTCCTCCGGGGGGCATGACCCAGAAAGCCTAGAAGGAAAGAGCAGAGAGAGTGCATAGCCAGTCCCCGGCTATTTATAATCCCCTCTCTGCTCCCTGCCACAGTGTATTTTTAACAGACTCTCAAGTCTGATAGAATGAGGCTTTGAGCTCCCCCTAGAGGTTTTAGTATGCCACAAATAGCAGTTTTTAAAAAGCAATGTTGCCGTTTTTCTTTGTCAGTATTTAAATTAATCTAAAAGATTAAAATGAAGATTTGGTAAATGATCTGGACTGACTTGATATCCTGTCTTTTGGGAACCAAATCTTTATTGCTAGAAATGGCTGAGAGTCTTTTGGGGACATGAGATTCTGGGTCTGTGTGCAGATCATTACTGAACATTAAAATAGGAGATAGTTCTGTGGTCATAGACTGTGCTTTATGGAATTCAAATGTTGTCACAAGGTGATGTTACTTACGTTGATTTAATGGGTGCGGAGAAAGCTACTGTGTTGGCATTGGATAGAAAGGTTAAGGAGTAATTGCTACTCAAGCAACCCAGTAATTTTATTTTTTCTTTCTGTATTTCAGGATTTCGAAAAAATGATGAAATGAAAGCTATGGATGTTTTGCCAATTTTGAAGGAAAAAGTTGCATACCTTTCAGGTAAAGTCTAACTCTCTAATCTTGTTTTCTCCAGCTGCTTTGACACAGTATCAGAGTTTCATGTCCTGAATTACTTCACCTGCCACAGCATATAAAAACATTGGCATCTCAATGAATTGTTAACTGCTTTATTCTTGTAGCAATTTTCCTGAGAAATTAGTGCCCAGAGCATTTTCTTCCAGCTAGGAGGAATAAGGAGTTAGGTAGCACTGGTGATCAGAGAATATGTTTGTATTTGTCATTCAACAAATGTGGATGTTTTGCCCCAATCAGTTAAGTAAAAGAACTGAGTTTTAAAAGTCAATCATTTCAGCAAAAGTGGTGGGAAGGTGACAGTATATAGATGTGTCCTGAATTTCTTACCTCCATTTCTTACTCTGCTTCTCCTTGAGAGCTCCTCCTTTGGGGCCCTCAGGCCCTGGAGTTACTAGAACCCATGTCATGAACCATAAAGTCCCACTGACCTCTACCAGCCAAGTCTCTACTTCCCTGTGGACGCCAGTCCTTGGGGCCCTGGCCCTCCTGCAGTGTGGTGACCACTCTGGATCAGTTCCCTGGGCTTTGGGACACCTAATTGCCCTCTCTTCTGTACATAGGCAGTTATGTTTGGGCTTTCTCTGGCTGTCTCCTTGGTGTCTCCTTCCTACACAAGCAGAACAGCCAGTGGGTATTATACCTTTTTGGGCACTAGTTCACCAGTTTCACTTGTTACAAAAAAAGGTTTGCAACATTTTTTCTGCTCTGTTTCATCAGGAAGTAAATCTGTAGGTTGTCATGTGCTTTTAGGCTGTCTTCCTGGATGTGTTTCCCTTGATAAATTTTTATATTTCCCCAATAGGCATTTTATGCTGATCTAATGTATCTTCTTGAACACATTTCATTTTTAATTTATAACACTGCTAGCTGTTTTTTATAGGTTTTGTGTGTCCTTTGGGCATGTGGTGCTGGTATATATTTAGTATGCAGCTTCCTATGGTGTTTTTGCTAATCCTGCTTTGCTTCGTGTCCAGCAGTGTGTCTTGGCCCGTGGTACATACTGTTTGATAATTTGCGGAAGTAAATCTAAATCATAATGTATTTGGAAAGTTAATAGAGTATAAGAGGTTCATGAAAAGATGAAGGTGCTTTAAATTTTTAGAAATACTTGGTAGAAAATAAACTTCTGTCTTGTCATACACTGAGTTTTAAAAGTAGCATTTATTGGCTCTTTTTTAATCATTTACTGACAGACTTTGAAGGACTCATGCCAGCTTTTTGAACTCCTGATTTTGTAATTTACAAATAGATTTTAAAGTTAATAAGATTACAAGACTACTTAGAGGCATCTGTAAGGAAGGTTTAGAAAACTGATTCCATGTGTTTATCAGTTTTTATTTTTAAAGTCTGGGTGGGTGATGAGAGCACCTGCTCCTTATGATCCCTCTTGTGTTTCTGAGACTCTTGTTCCGTTTTCTTCTTTCCTTAAGCTTGTGGAGATGGACGTGTAAGGAAAGGTAGAAGGTTAAGATCGGTGGTTTTTATTTGTATTCATTCTTTTACTACGCAGTTAATACAGAGTACATTATCAGATGGCAATTTTATATAGCTTACTGTCAAAACCAAACTCTTTACCTTTTAACTAATCAGAGAAATAAAATCTGCAGTCTTTCAGAGTTTGTTATAAATGTTTAAGAACACATTTAGGGTTAAATAAAGTTGGATATCTTTGATGGGGAGGGAAGTTTTGCAGTGACAACAAATTAGTATGGAACTGTTTTAAAACATTAGCAATGGTAGAACTTTCACCATCTGTGTTGGCAAAATACAGTTAGTAGGTGCTGCCACGCTTGTATACTATTTCCTAATTTATGACCAGATTGGCAAGTCATATAACCATGAGCTCATTGCCGATTGTTTTAGGCTTGTTGTTAGTTATCTCCTTTAGGAAGGGAAAAGGAACAACAGCAAACCCTCATAAAATTAAAAACAAATTGATTACTTGTATTGTTTTTTCTGAAAAGTTATAATGAACAAGTAAACTTTAAAAAATGTTTACCTCTGGCCCCATTTTTCTCTTTTTTCTCAAGATCTCATTCACATATCATAAAACACAAATTCTTTAAGTTATGGTTCAGTGGATTTTAGCATATTCACAAGTTTGTGCAGCCATCACCACTGTCCTTCATCAGCTCGCAAAGAATGCCCTGTCTGTCCTCCCTGCCCCCCAGCTCCAGCAATCGCTAATCTACTTTCTGCTCTGACCCCATTAAAAAAAATCAGGTAATATTATGGTACCTTTCTAAAAGCTCTTCATGCAAATGGCTTTCAGTAAATAAATCTAAGTAGAATAGCAAAGGCTTTGTAAAAGCAGGCCAAAAGATCAGTGATTCTAAAAGATACTTATTGGGTCAAAACCACAAAAAAACAGGGCCCCATGCGGTGGCTCACGCCTGTAATCCTAGCACTCTGGGAGGCAGAGGAGGGCGAATCCCTCAAGGTCAAGAGTTCAAGCCAGACTCCATCTCTACTAAAAATAGAAAGAAATTTATTGGCCAACTAAAAATATATATAAAAAATTAGCCGGGCATGGTGGCACATACCTGTAATCCCAGCTACTCTGGAGGCTGAGGCAGTAGGATTGCTCGAGCCCAAGAGTTTGAGGTTGCTGTGAGCTAGGCTGATGCCAGGGCACTCTAGCCCATGCAACAGAGTAAGACTCTGTCTCAAAACAAAACAAAACACCCAAAATCTCCAAAAAACAAGTGAGGATTTCTTGAACTTAAATATTTCTGATCCTTAGACTCATCTCCAGGTATTCTAAAAAGTAATGCTCATTGGACTTAAATTAGATGGCAACATACTACCTGCTCCATTTAGGATGAATTAAATGAGGTTAAATGTTTGAAGTCAAAAAGAGGAGGCTGTGGTTTGAATGTGTCACCTTTGGGAATTAGATGTTGCCTCTGTGATGGTATTCAGAGGTGGGACTGTTAAGTGATTTGGCCATGAGGGTCCCTCCCTCTTGAATGAGATTAAGGGGCTTATAAAGGAGGCTTCACTCTTGCCCTTCAACCATGTGAGGATACAGCATTCCTCCCTCTTCACCTGGAGGATGCAGCCCTCACCGGACAGCCAAACCTGCTGACACCTTGATCTTGGACTTCCCAGCCTCCAGAAATGTGACAAAATAAATTTCTGTTCTTTATATAATAAATTACCTAGTCTGTGGTCTTCCGTTACAGCAGCAGGAATGGACTAAGCCAGAGGCTCAGTAAAAACACTAAAAGAAGTTGTATTACAGTTTATATTTATTGTAGTTTGTATAGAATGATGACCATTACATGTGGTTCCTAGGCTGCTAGGGTTTGAGCCTTAAAAGAACTCACAGACAACCACCAGAATTAAGAACGTTTTAAAAAAACAAAACAAAACTTTTTATCCTGGAACATTTTAGCATCCAAGAGGAAAGAGAATAGTGAATTTCCATGAACTCATGGCTCACTTCAGCATCTTGTTTCAAATATATTCCTACTTTGCATAATTTTGAAGTACATTCCAGATACCATATCATTTTATAAATATTTATCATATGTATCTAAAAAGCTTTACAAAACCCCACAATACTATTAACAGACCTAAAAATCAAATGGTAATTATATAATATACAAAAAATCCAATCAATATTCAAATTTTCATGCTTGTCTCTCATAATTGTTTTTACAGGATACTCATTGCAATTGTTTGAGATATTAGTCAAGTCTCTTTTAATCTATAAGTTCTGCCTCCTTCTTGATCTTTTTGGCCTAAACCTCTTATGTTTATGAGGTGAGGAAACTAGTGTTTTCCTGTAGATTTCCCTACATTCTAGATTTTGTTGATTGTGTCCTTGAGTGATTATTTAACGTGTGTCTCTTCCCCTGTATTTCCTGTGAACTAGGAGGTTTACATCTTGAGGTTTGATCCAACTCGCCTTTTATTTTGCAGGGAAGGGGTAAGAAATAGTTAATGAGATGGGTGGTATTGCTTAGTTTTATTGGGAGAGCCTGGTTGTCTTTTATTCCAATGTTAAGTATTCATTGGTGAATACTTAACATTGCTTAGATCTAATTTTTTTTTTAGAGTTCCAAGTAGTGATACTCTAATTATTATATATCCTTTCTCCTTCATTTGTTAACTTAGATATTCCACACAGAGAGATGTCCCATCATCACATACTCGATTACCCTCAGTATACAGTTAATACAGGAAAAGTAGGAGAAATGATTGATTCTTGTCCTTTTCTACTTTCAGACTGATGAAAAATGACCATTGAGCTTTTTATTTTAGAAAAATAATTATTCAAACTTGTGGTTTTAAATATATTTTATGTGTTTTGATTCATTGCACATTTTCTCTTTTATGAAGTTAAAATTTGCACATCTTTGGCCATTGGTAGCCTCTTCAGATAGGCTCTTGAGTCCTTTTTGCTGATGTGCTCAGATGTTTCAGGACATCTTGTGTGTTTCCTGGTTCATATTTGCAGTTGGCCCTTTCTCTAAAGGACCCTGGTTTCTTTCAGAGCTGCTCATTGTTGGTGGGCTGGTCGTTCTGTCTGTGCCTTTTCAGTGGACAAATCTAGGAAATATATGTATACACACATTTTAATGATAAATTATGTCATGACTTTATATTAAAATTCACAGTTCAAATTTAGGATTACAGATATTTTACTTCTTTGTGTATTATCGTTTTTTCGTTAAGATAAAAAATGTTAGTTCCTGCCTCATCAACATGATTACTTACTTACCTTGTAATATTAGTATTATTACCACAGTATGACTACCAAGTGTAATTTTTAATTTTTTTTGTCCTAAGTGTGTATGCCACTATAGATACAGGGTCCCAGCAATGTATTTTAAAGTCACCTAAAATAGTTCCTTTCCATGTAGATATGCTACCAAGTTGAAACTAAGGATCATTTTTTTATTCATTTTGCTTTTAAATTTGTAAGGCTTGAGGAAAAAAACCCTCCTAATTTTGCT